TTGGCTTGTTTAGTTAACACTCGAAGGTGATTGGGCTCTCGGGCGAGATCCCAATTCGTCAGTCCGATCTGACGTAACGTCTCCGTTTCCTCCTTCAGGGAACGAGGGTTACACAAGTAACCTAGACGTTTCTTGAGCAGCAAATCAACATATTAGAATGATTTTTGAGGGACCATATAACACTGAAGATTGGAGTACTGATGAAAAAGGAATCAAATCAAAGGAATAAATGACATTTTAAAATATATTTTACAAATCTGGTGTTTGTGCATTATTAAAGCAACTGTATGTATGTTTTTTACTTTGAAATATCAGTTTCAAAATCATTCTGATGGTATACTGACATCTAATAAAGCGAATGGCTTGGGTTTCTGCTTTGCCACGCTCCAGCCAAATGTCTGTTCTGAGAATAAATAAATTTGGTGGGTGGGTACAAATTTCTGTGAAAAGGTCGTATTGCTTTTTAACAGCAAAAAAATCCATGTGTACAGCTACCCATTGTAATTATGAGTGATATATTTACGACAGTGAATTCAACTCGCTTAACTGCGAGGAGCTCCAAAAAAATCTACAAAACTACTGTACATACAGCTGCTTTAAGCCATTGTAAAACAAAAGCATTTTGTTTAAATTTTAGTGCTTTGAATTTAGTGTCTAATCTGAGATGCTGATTGAAACTGTAAAGGAGACAAAAGGCAACCTCATGTCACAGACTTGGACAAAGTGCTCTGAACATCAGAAATATGGAAATGAGAGGCACTCAGGATCAGCAACGAAGAGCAGGAGCAGCTTATTACAACAATGGACTTGTGTGCAATTTACACAGACAACCTTAAAACACTGAAAGCATGATCCTAAATTTAGTTTAGTATTTAACTGTTTAGGAAATATGTCCACCACAATAATAAAAAAAGGCTGGTAATACTTTCTGTAGAAAATATGACTAATGCTTGCCTGTGCAACAACTGACACTAAGATCATAGGGTGTTGAGGGTGGTTGCTAGGGCATTGCTATGTGGTTGCTAAGGTTTCTGAGTGGTTTTAATGCATTGCTATGCGGTTGCTTACTGGCCCACTTCCAATTATCTGATATCGCAGTCTCTAGATATGGCTTGGGTCCTTCCTTGGGGTCTATTTTATCGCCTGCCAGGTGCAGTCAGGTTGCTTTGAAAAGTAATAGCACCTCCTCTCAATTAGTCACATATTTTGAGGTATCATTTATGCACTTGAGATTAGGGACAGACAGCAAACTCCTAAAGCACAAATATGAGTGATAAAAACAGTGATGTTTGCTGTACTAAAAATGATTACAACTAAAAACAGAACTGCACATGTATCGTATGTGAAAGACAGCATGAGAGAGTGTGTGAATATGGAAATGAGTCAGACTGAATTTAAATGCTGGGAACTTTTTATATCAAAGCCAATAGCTGAAAAATCCATAGTTAGCCACTGCAGCTCCCAATATGCATTGATCTCCCTTATAAATAAACATTACAGGAAAAGAAAAGTGGAAAAAAAGACAAATCAATAAGGGCAAAATTGCAGAATGTACTCTTGCCTGGAGGGATTGCAAATATCCGGTCATTGGATTAGCTCAGATCTCTGATTAGCTCCTCATTCAATTAGTAAGACTCACAGTTTCCTGTCAAGACATCGGTATGATGGTCCACCAAAGCAATGTCACATATCTAAATGGCATTTTTACAGCTTACATTCGGATTACAATGCAGAGAGGCTATCGGTAGCTATTAGATTCACTAATTCAGTTGCATTGTGAGCATTAAGGCTGTTCTCATGCCTTCAGTATAGTACTGGCAAAAACACGTTCATGCATCACAATGAGCTTGACAGCAGATGAACCCTGAGCTCATTTTAAACAATGTAGTGCACTTATCTTTGCTTAAAAACTGGGATTTCTGATGCGGCGTTAGTTTAATTAAAGATGGAGGGCTCTGAGAACCCTCTTGAAGTTCCAGGTAGCCGATTCATGGAGCGGAATGGGAATATTCAATCTCTCAGTGCGATTTAGCCTTTCGTTTGAGGTGAGGGATGTGGCGGTCCAATCATTAACACAAGTGTTTAATGGATCACTCTGCTTTGTGTCCAATCAAACAAAGGCAAAAGAGAACAAGTGTTTTAAAAGCACAAGGGCTCCTTGATCCTGTCAGTATGTGCAGTTCCATGAACAATGAGCATACACTTAGCTAATGACAGAGCTATCAGAAGACTAGCCTGAGGTTAGCAGGCCAGCAAATCAATACAAGTCCATTAATGAAGCTGTCATATCTTGGCTTTCAGTCTGATGTTTTTCAATGAAAAGGTCGTATTGCTTTTTAACAGCAAAAAAAATCCATGTGTACAGCTACCCATTGTAATTATGAGTGATATATTTACGACAGTGAATTCAACTCGCTTAACTGCGAGGAGCTCCAAAAAAATCTACAAAACTACTGTACATACAGCTGCTTTAAGCCATTGTAAAACAAAAGCATTTTGTTTAAATTTTAGTGCTTTGAATTTAGTGTCTAATCTGAGATGCTGATTGAAACTGTAAAGGAGACAAAAGGCAACCTCATGTCACAGACTTGGACAAAGTGCTCTGAACATCAGAAATATGGAAATGAGAGGCACTCAGGATCAGCAACGAAGAGCAGGAGCAGCTTATTACAACAATGGACTTGTGTGCAATTTACACAGACAACCTTAAAACACTGAAAGCATGATCCTAAATTTAGTTTAGTATTTAACTGTTTAGGAAATATGTCCACCACAATAATAAAAAAAGGCTGGTAATACTTTCTGTAGAAAATATGACTAATGCTTGCCTGTGCAACAACTGACACTAAGATCATAGGGTGTTGAGGGTGGTTGCTAGGGCATTGCTATGTGGTTGCTAAGGTTTCTGAGTGGTTTTAATGCATTGCTATGCGGTTGCTTACTGGCCCACTTCCAATTATCTGATATCGCAGTCTCTAGATATGGCTTGGGTCCTTCCTTGGGGTCTATTTTATCGCCTGCCAGGTGCAGTCAGGTTGCTTTGAAAAGTAATAGCACCTCCTCTCAATTAGTCACATATTTTGAGGTATCATTTATGCACTTGAGATTAGGGACAGACAGCAAACTCCTAAAGCACAAATATGAGTGATAAAAACAGTGATGTTTGCTGTACTAAAAATGATTACAACTAAAAACAGAACTGCACATGTATCGTATGTGAAAGACAGCATGAGAGAGTGTGTGAATATGGAAATGAGTCAGACTGAATTTAAATGCTGGGAACTTTTTATATCAAAGCCAATAGCTGAAAAATCCATAGTTAGCCACTGCAGCTCCCAATATGCATTGATCTCCCTTATAAATAAACATTACAGGAAAAGAAAAGTGGAAAAAAAGACAAATCAATAAGGGCAAAATTGCAGAATGTACTCTTGCCTGGAGGGATTGCAAATATCCGGTCATTGGATTAGCTCAGATCTCTGATTAGCTCCTCATTCAATTAGTAAGACTCACAGTTTCCTGTCAAGACATCGGTATGATGGTCCACCAAAGCAATGTCACATATCTAAATGGCATTTTTACAGCTTACATTCGGATTACAATGCAGAGAGGCTATCGGTAGCTATTAGATTCACTAATTCAGTTGCATTGTGAGCATTAAGGCTGTTCTCATGCCTTCAGTATAGTACTGGCAAAAACACGTTCATGCATCACAATGAGCTTGACAGCAGATGAACCCTGAGCTCATTTTAAACAATGTAGTGCACTTATCTTTGCTTAAAAACTGGGATTTCTGATGCGGCGTTAGTTTAATTAAAGATGGAGGGCTCTGAGAACCCTCTTGAAGTTCCAGGTAGCCGATTCATGGAGCGGAATGGGAATATTCAATCTCTCAGTGCGATTTAGCCTTTCGTTTGAGGTGAGGGATGTGGCGGTCCAATCATTAACACAAGTGTTTAATGGATCACTCTGCTTTGTGTCCAATCAAACAAAGGCAAAAGAGAACAAGTGTTTTAAAAGCACAAGGGCTCCTTGATCCTGTCAGTATGTGCAGTTCCATGAACAATGAGCATACACTTAGCTAATGACAGAGCTATCAGAAGACTAGCCTGAGGTTAGCAGGCCAGCAAATCAATACAAGTCCATTAATGAAGCTGTCATATCTTGGCTTTCAGTCTGATGTTTTTCAACTTTTAGTGGTTGTGTGTGTGTGTGTGTGTGTGTGTGTGTGTGTGAGAGAGAGAGAGAGAGAGAGAGAGAGAGAGAGCATGAGTAATTTACTTCGCCCATACAACTATTTGACAGGATATTTTAAAACCTTCAACAGGCCAGTGGTAAATGAGTGACTTGGTGCAAATCCAGAAATAGATAGGCATCACATAGCCATCACTTTGACCTTCACTTACTTACCCTGCTCTCTGCTTTTTGGACTTGTTTGAGATGCCATCTCTAGACATGAGTTTGTTGAAGACCACTATTCCAATCAGCATGTTCACCTGCAGCAAAGAGATAGAGGGTGTGTTTGTTTTGTTAGATTGTTTTTGATGATAGATTATGCTGGTTATTTCAAGTCAGGATCTTATTTAGCCTGTGAGAGTAGTGTTGTTTGTTGACTAGTTAGCAACAGGGTTATACTCAATTCAGAACTAAAACAAGGATGTCTTTTAAATTCCAATTCAACTCTCTAATTCCATTTGCATTTAAAAAGCAAACCACATGCAGAATTGCAATTCTAATCTGAATGTCATGAAATATAATTGAAATTCACATGACTGTACTTTTAACTAGAAATCAAAGTTTGCCAAGTTTGGAAGTCTAGAAAAAAGTTTAAAAAAAGCCTTAAAGTTAATAGGTTTATAGACTTTATGATAGATAGACAGATACGATAGATCGGCAGAACGATCTAGAATATATATAGATATAGAACAATTGAATGATTGACTGATTGAACGATTGAGTGAACGATCGACAGAACACTCAACAGATAGACAGAGACAGACAGAAAGATAGACAGACAGACAGACAGATAGATAGATAGATAGATATATAGATAGATAGATACTTCATTTGAACTACTGCAGCATCTAAGTGGAAGAAAATAATTTAGTACTTCTGGCCATTATTTCTGTATAAATACAATTTGGGTAGTGGGACAATAAAGCAGTGTTGTGAAGTGACCTTTAACCATGGAGCATTTACAGCAGTGGCTCGCTAACAGCCTGTGACAGGTGTTGTGGATTTAAGTCTGGAAGCAAATGGGCAGGTGGGATCATGAAGGGACAGTAATGCCCTCATGTCTCTCACCCACTCTCTCTCTCAACAGATTGTTGCCCAGTCCGCTCCAGCCAGCTGCTCACTGGACACACAGAGCACTGAAGAGGAGCTTAGACAAAGGCCATGGAAAGACCACACACACACACACACACACACACACACCTGTACCTTTGATACACACAGAATTTGAGCCAAGACTATACTGTTTCTCTTGTATTACAACAGGAGGGCATATGGTTGTAGGTTACAAGACTGACAATCTCTTCCTGTTAAGTGACATCTGCCTGCACTACACCACCAACACATGGACTGTGACTTTGGCAGCTGCGTTCAACTTTGTTAAAGTAGGGATCTTCAGTTTATTTCAAATAAATGAGCCCTTGGTATATATTATTGAAAACTGAGTGTTAGATTTTAAACCTACAATAACATACGTTTAGCACCATGTTGTTATGATACATCAGTTATTTTTGATGTGATGTCATATACAAGTACAATACTATGTATTACTTAATACATTTTAATGTAAGAGAGAAACTGTTATTTCATTAACATTATTTAATGCATTAGGTATCATGAGCTAACAGTGAGCAAAATGTTTACAGTATTTTTTATTCTAGATTAATGGTAATTTACAAATATGTATATTATAAATCTAAAATAATTTATACATACTTTATTGTTCAAATGTTTGCGGTTGGTAAGATTTGATTTTTATGTTTTTTTTTTTAAAGAAGTATCTCATGCTTTCCAAGGCTGCATTTATTTGATCAAAAACACAGCAATAATATAAAATGGTATTACAATTTAATATAACTCTTTTCTATTTGAATATATTTTCAAATGTAATTTTATTTTCTGCGATATGAAGCTGACTTTTTAGCAGTCATTACTTCATTCTTCAGTGTCACATTATCATTCAGATATCATGCTAATATTTTGTGCTCAAGAAACATTTCCAATTATTACCAATCTATATCCTACTGAATCCAAACCTTTGAATGGTAGTGCATTTTGTTCATAATACATTATTTTTTATCAACTTGAGATGTTAAATATGTATTAATGTATGTTGAATAAAATTAATAAACACAAAAGTATTATTCATTGTTAGTTCATGTTACTAATATTTTATCCAAGCATTACCCAAAAAATAATTTGAGATTAAACAATAATTGGCTGGACCCACAACAGACCCCCTATTGAAATCCCCTGCGTTAAATTACCACTCGGTCTGTTCAGTCTGCTCCGAGAGCATATAGAACCAACTGAGTCTAACACGTTTACCAGTGCCGTTCGTATTCTGATCATGCAAGGCACTTGCTTAGACAATGGGTCTCCATTTTACTATTTGCTAGAGGCAAGATTAATTATTTTCCATGAATTAGATTTGCCTCTCTAAGGAGGTAGACAGCATCTCCAGATGCCCAAATCTCATTTGCAGTTGTTTGTTTGAGTGGGCCGCTTCACAGCACCACCAAGGAACAAACAACGCAAATCACATCTGACCATGAAAAACAATGCAAACATCTCACAGAAAACACACAGCACCTGAGACCGGGGCTGTGGACGATAGTATATGCACACACACTTTGGTTGCTTTGGGCTAATAAGCTCATCAAGTTCACTCATGTATTTTACACTGAAGAAAAATACACACATTTGAAATGAGACAGGCCTCAACTCTAATCTCATTAGTGAAAATGCTCTTCGACTGCTGGCTTGATATATTTAAAATGCATATTAAAGTGGACGGAGCTCATGTTGGCTAAATCTAACCAATGAAAAAGCACAAAGTCTGAGACCTACCAGTACAATGACAGCAGCGGGACCGACAAAAGCATAGAGCAGCCCTCCTTCCAGAGACAACCAACAACTGAAATTGAGAGAAAGAGATAAAGTGAAATATAAACACTGCAAATCAATAGAGAGAGTTGACATTTGTTGGCTTCGGAAAAAAAGGGGGGTTGGCGAGAAAGAAATAGAAAATTAATTATTTTTGCAGTTTTCATTAACCTTTAATCATATTTCTTCACACAAATAAAGATGAAATGAAAGTAGAATAATAAATTAAGTCAGCTTGGATTCTAAACAAATGTATTCCCTAAATTAAGAAACTGAAGAGGATATCTCAAAAACAACCTCTCCATCTTACTACTTTGTTTTTAGAAATACCATATTGTTAAAGTGCTTTCATTGCAGAGA